GCACCCACACCCACATGAAATCAGAGGAGAATTTGTCTGAGTTTTGTTCTCTCCTTCACCATGTGAATCCCAGGGAAGGAACTCGGGCCTGTAGGCTGTCAGCCGGTATCTATAGTCTCTGAGACATCTCTCGGGTGGATCACATTATCCATGGACTTGAATGAGCTCTATATCTATACTGGTATTCTGAATACATATGTCCTTCATCTAGAGTGGATTCACTCCCCCTAGTTTGACAGCACCAGTTGTGGACCCACACAATTAATTCCTCCACACATTAACTGTGACTCACTGTCAGTCTCCGATGTCAGATCCATTTCTGGGGAGCTGCACAAGAATAAAGCAGTCATCTGGAAGAAACCCTTCCTCAGTATACAGTGAGATCTGCTGTGGTTAAAGAGCAGCGTCATGCATCCCTCTCCCTTCTTAGCCTTGCACAGTTGTGCTCTCAGGCAGAGAAAAGTGGCTAATTTGAAGCTTCCTTCCAGCACTTAGTTGGAGCATCAAGAGAGACTCCTTAACCACACCACCGCCACCAGGAAGGTCTTCTCAATTCTGCATTTCATCAGATGTCCCTAATCTGCACTGTCATTCCAGGACGAGATGTGAGAGATCTGCTCCAGCCATGACAAGTGATGCTGCAGCAGGGTCTTGAACCTGTGAAAGCCTTGCATGGATGTCTGGCATTCTGAGACAATTCGCATTCCTACATCATGAATTTGTCCCTCTGGTCTCCTTAAATTTCTCTTATTGCTTGAGAGTGTTTCAGTCTAATACATCACACGTGGCTAGATGGATATAAGTCAATTGTAGGGGCTGGAGAGATGGTGCCATAATTTTCAGTATTTCTTTCTGTCCCAAAGGAACAACAGTGCAGATAAAAAGTCTCCAGGTTCAGGCGGAATCTGTTGCTCTCTGCTGGCCTCTGGTGGAATTGAATGCATGTGACGTACAGCCCTTCAGCAGGTAAAACATACATACATATATATCTACTAAATAATCTTCAAAATTAAACCAAAGCATAGTTAATGCACAGCACCAAAACAGAAAAAAAAATGGCCAACATATCTTAGAAGTCATTCTGTCTGCTGTGTGGTTATCCCTGATGCTGTATTTCAAGGAACCCAGAGACAGATACTTCCAGTTATTGTAATTTATTTTTAAAAATACCTTATTGATTCTCTGTTGGTTTCACATCATGCATCCCAATCCCACTCTTCCCCCTACCCATTCCCTCACATCTGTGCTCTGCTCTTGCTACCTCCCCACCAAACAGAACAAAGTTTAAAAGAAAAACCCAAAACTCAAAATCAAAAACAAACACACAAAATCTTGGTGAGGACTCTGCAGTGTGGCCCAGTGAGTCACACAGTGTACCCTTTAGTCCATACATCTGTTCCTGTAAGTTTTCCAGGTCTTTGGCTTCTACTACACTATAGATAGTGTATCCTCACTGGGACTCCTCTTGGATATCCTACTGAAGCTTGTGTCATGGAGATCCTGCAGCTTTGGGTCTGCAGATCCAGGCCCTCATTGCTCCAGCAGCTCCTAGATGAAGAGGATGTTGGGGTGGGATAAGTCATAGCCCTGGTTCTGGGCCTGCGTTGTAGCTGGGTTAGTGAACCTGCCAGGCTTCCCTCGTCTTCACCACCCAGGCAAACTTTCCAGCACTGCCTCAGTTAGGTCTCCCAATAGAGCAAACAGAATGCAGAGGGGCCAGGTGTCCTGTTCTCATGCCCTCCCACTGAGCTCTCACACACTCAGACCACAAAGGGCCAGCTCTACTGTTGAGCCCAGGTGAGGTCCCGGGCCCACTCTCCCAGTTGCTGCAGTTGGTGAGAGGCAGACCCAGGTTTTTGTTCTCCTGCCCCAGAGGCCATCTCTCCCACCACTGCAGGTGATATGTACTCAGGTGAGGCAGATGTCTTTCCCTCATCTTTGCCAACACAAGGGAGAAGAAGGGATAAACTCAGCTCTTCTGCTCTCACATGCTCAGGGCCAGCTCCCCTGCACTGCTGCTAACAGGGTCAGCTCTACTGTGCTGCTCAGTCCAGGTGCAGGACCCAGCATCCCCATTATTATAGTTGGGGAGAGGCAGGTTCAGTTCGCCCTAGTGCTGCAGCTTGTGAAGGGTGGGCTTAATCTGTGCATCTGTATCCTGTCTTCAGTGCTAACAGGAGCCGCTGACATCCACATGGACAGAGGCACTGGCAGGGCAGTGGATGCAGACATGGCCTTTGCAGCAGCCCAGGCCCAGAGGACACTTATGGCCGCTGGTGACAGCATAGGACACTCAGATCTGTGTGACCCCAACAGAAGTGTAGACCTCAGAGACTAACATGGTCCTAGGTGGTGGCTTAGATCTCTACTTCTGTGTGTCTCTTGATTGGAAACATAAGCCATGGATATCAGCACAGACCCTGGCTGCATTTGTAACATGGACCCAGATATAGTCCCAAGCTACATCCTGGGCATAGGTGTTACCATGGCCATGGTTGTCAATGCAGATCACTCAGATCAACATGGACCCAGCAGCAGACCCAGGTGGGCCTAGGTGATGGTCCACATTCCAGGCTTCTGCACTGTCTTTGATGGCAGCACGAGCCTGGGACATAAATGCTCAGACCCTGGCTTCAGCAGAGCCATAGACTGAGACTTGGTTCTCAGCAGCAGTCCTGGCCCAGATGCCATTATGGTCCTGGGTGGCAGCACAGCACTCCAAGACACACATGCCCCTGCGGGAGTATGTTCTTGTGACAGTAGCAGAGTGCCCTAGACTGAAGATAGCTGCAGAGCCCTCAGTAGTAACTGCAGTCACAGATATCAGCATTGCTGCCCACAGCTGTATCAGAGCCATGGCCTTTGGCAGCAGCCCAGGCAGGGACAGCACCATGGTCCAGGTAGCAAGTGGGACACAAAGTTTTTGCACACGACCTTGGTAGATGTTTGTGTATCCTGAGAGGCATTAGAACAGTACTGTGGTGTTTCTCATCAATTTGTTCCACATGTTCATTTCATGAAACAGAATACTATAGTTTAGTGATAGCAAAGTATATGACAATTAGGATGCAGTGTATACACACACACACATACA